ATAGTATAAATAATTTTATATAAAGCTATATTCAAATGATAAATGCATAACTTTTGCAGCTTTGGTCATATAATCTGAAACAAAATACTATAAGTATTAAATGACAGAAGATCAAAAGAAAAGCTAACATCACTTGACAAATCGGAAAATAAAACTACTGCAGTCAAGCAGTTAATATTAAACTAAATGGTATGCAATTATATAATTATATGTTATAGTATATCAAGCGATTAATATTAAACTAAATGATATGCAATTATATAATTATATGTTAGAGTATATCAAGCAAACAGAATAAAATTTTTTTCATGATTCTGTGAAAAATTTATTGCCGAATGAAAAATTTGATTTTTTCTGCCAAAAATAACACTCCAAAGAAAATTCAAACTACATGCATAAAATAGAATAAATAAGACAACACATGAAGTTTTTAATGATTCACAACATGAAATCTTCTTCCATATTAAAACATTATACATAAATATATTTATAATGAAGTGATTCCTTATTTGATATTAAACGAATTACTGCAAACAATGTTAAGAACCAAATTCTGATGTTTCAGAATAGTGATGGTTTGGTTCATTATTGTATAAACACTTGTTATACAAGATAATAAGTAAATAGAAACTCTTTTCAAACAGAAATTGCAATTCCAACTCTTGCTTGCAGCATCTATACATTTAAATAAAGTTTAATTATATATATATAATACAGGCTATTTATTCGAGTTCTAACAGGAAATCCATGTCATTCAACTGACTGATTACACTGATTGTATATAGCCATTTCACTTTCATTTAATCCCAACTTTAAAACATCGTAGATAAAATATTTATATCAACAGAAGGAATAATATAGGTACTCGATGACAATTTAAGATTTTTTGACTTTATGACTATTTGAAAGCGACATACATTCAGTAGAAATGAAAATTTTAATTTTAATTTTACACTATTACATGGAGTTACAAAAATTAAAAATTGTTCTGCAAATAAACTGAAAATGAAAATCAATTAATGAATGTAAAGTCAATCTATACATTGAACGGAGTATGCATGATAAGAATGCTCTGCTTAAAATAACTTTTGATGAAGTGAAATAATATATGTACCCAAGGCCGCATCAAAGCCAATGCCAGCACTAGACTGCAAAAATTTTAGAATTTTAAAAAGCACCGAGCAGCAAAATTTAGGGAAGGTGAAATTTTTAAAATTTAGGCAAGGCACTAGGCAGCAAAATTTAGAAGTGACAGAAGTTTCAGGATTCAAGAGGGCATCAGCCAGCAGAATTTATTAATCGCAGAGATTGTATTGGGCAGCAAAATACCTAGTGCCAGCCCTGAATGCACAAAAATTAATATCAAAATATTCCTATTCCTTAATCTATCACTTTAAAATAGGCATCTTGTAGTCACAGTTTGCAATTCCTTTTTTTTTTTTTTTTTTTCAAGATGTATATTTATATACCCACATTCTTCAAAACCAAAATAATTTTCCCCCACTTCAGTTCAGACTTCATTCAAATCTTCCTTTATTTGTACACAATAATCATCTTAAGAGAAGTGAAATGGGAAAAGCGAATTCAGGTTTTGAATCTCTTCGAGCCTTGATGTTGCTATGGCTGCAACAAAAGCTATAGGGGTAAAGACTTGACCAAAAGATGCCTGTTTTAAAATAACATATTACAGCAGCTTGCACTATAATATGAATTATATAATTCTTATGGGTAAGGACTTCATATATTGAATCATATATTGAATACTCATGCTTACAAACAACAATGTTATAAAGAGTTAATTAAACAAAGTTAAATAAGTTTAGCATCGGGATTTAAATGCTGAAAGTTCTTGGTTCAGAAAAACCAGCAATGATGCAAAATAAATATAACTGTAAGAACTTTGACTGCAGTGCTTTCATCAAATTCAGATAGTTAAGTGTTCATAAGATAATGAAAAATTTACAGACCTAAAATTTCATATTTAAAATTAATCTGCTAATTAATCAAGGTAATACGCAAAGAATTTATTTCAAAATTATATGCAAGAAGCTATAAAATATTTTTTCATTATTATCTATTTTTTCCTGGATTTAAGATTATAAAATTTTGTTATAATGAACAGTGTTATTTAAAATAAATAATTTTTAATATTAGTTTTAATTAACTGAAAATTTCATACACTTTCATCTAATTTTTTATATTTTAATAAACGTTGTATTTAATTTGGATTTCCTATTTACATTGCAGGTATGTTTACCAAGCAGTATAATGAAGGATTCTAAATTACACAAGAAAGCCTAAAACCTGTATTCTGCTATATTCTTTGATTATTATTAGCGGGTGTGTGGAAAAGCGAAGGGGGCAAAACCTAAATAAGAAGCAAATAGCTCTATATAACACTTTTTCAGAATAATTTTATGTTTTAAATTATATTATTTGATGATAAAACTAATTTTCCATCTGTAAAGATGAATTTCATAAACATTCTTGCAAGAATCAGTTTTACTTAAAATATTCTAGAAACACTAAGCATCTATTTCTGAAGCTATTTTGTATTTCCTTAATTTATACATGAACAAACAAGCACCACAAACAGAAACCTATACTATTCTAGTTTCAGTCAACATTTCAACCATCATTATCACGAGAAAAAATAAGGCTTCTTTATAACTATACTAATTCTTTTTAAACTATGCACTATCAACTTCAACTGTCAGCATAAAATATTTTAGGAGCAACAAGAATCCAAATTGCAACAATCAGATTTAAAGAACTTTTGTATGCAAAGTAATTGTAGTTAAGTTTTGGTCATGGATTTTTGAATTTTTATACATATAATTTAAGACAGCATATAACTATAAGTTTATGTTATTAAGTTTGTAGGACATGTCATTCTGAAATTAGCTGTATCATACAAAAATAAAATATGACTGATTTACTTGTAAAAATTTTAACAAATATTAAATATTGTACAGACTTTTTATAATTAAATACTGTAGAGAAAACTGAAGTAAGCTGTATGATTACAAATTTCATGTATAGAATGCAGACCTTGAAATGCACATGTACAATTTCAAAATAAAAACAATTCTTAATAAATAGAACATCATTAAGTGAATATTTTATTTATATTAAATATATACCTTTCAAGTCTAATGATATATTTAAAAATTAATATATATAACATTAATGGAAATTTCTAGAAGAAAAGTGTCAATATTAAACAAAAGTCTAAATTTGTGAAATCACTGATGGATAATAATGATTACAGTTTACACAGTTAAGTACTACAGAAAATTTAAATGTATTAAGATAAATTATTTAAGAACAGAAATATTTTAAGGTCAACTGTATTTAAATAAGAGCCAAACATGTCTTATTTACAGGCTGCTATTAATATTTATATTCAAAAGCATTATTTAAATTTATTTAATAGCGGATTTAAATACAGCAGGTCATGCAGATTACTGAATTGTCAACGAATATAATAGATTATTGAAATTAGTAGAAAATGGATGAAAAAATAGTCTTACAGTTTCTTTTAAAAATACTGTATTTAAAATTCTTATCATATTTAATCATGTGTTATGATTTATGGCAGAAGAAAATATCTCATATAAATTATTTTCTGCTAACAAATGATGACATATTGACAAAGATAGCTGTTTGAAAATAAGTATATATCATAATTTTAATTTTTGTGGAGTAAGAATATTCAGATAATTTTTATAATATATATCCAAAAAGAAACATGTTTTTTCTTATAAATGTTCAAAAAGAAACAAAACTCTTGCAGCTGAGTTCTTAAGAAAAATAGAAAGTTTTAGTTTACCCCCCCCCTAAAAAAAAATAGCACAGCATTTTTATTGAAAAAAAGTAAAAATAAGTAAATCAATATTGAATATTTATAAAACTAATAAATTTGTTAATGAACATAAATTAAAATCCTTCAGTTGAAAATAAAAATGAATGGGATTTTAAGAATTTTAAAGCAGTAGCAGAAATAAAAGTGCAAAAAGAATTACAACTTGGAACAATACACAGGAATATAATGTTAAAACAGTGCTAGAAAAAAAGAATATAAATTATTAAAAAGCTTGTCGATTACAATCCAAGATTATAGATTATAAGATAGGAAACAATCAGATTTGAAACGTTATTATTTAAAAATGCTAAACCTGCTTTTGAATGTTCTGAGAATGCATATCAGTAAAGACAAGCTCAATATAGTAATAAATTAAAAAAAATTATATTTCTTAAAGCTGACATTCACATATAATTTTAAAGTTTGAAAAGTACAGTAATATGATGAAACCCAATTAATGAAGGTCAATTAAATAACGTTCATTAACTGGATTTCATAAAACGTATAAATAAATTTAAATTTATCTTTTTTAAAATTAGATTATGAAGACATACGGAAACTTAATTATAGAAAGTTTCTGCTATTTTAATATAAGATTTAAATATAGTTTTTAGATGCCTATTTTGTAACATAGAAAGAAAATATTTAACTCATAACTTCATTCTTTTCATATCACAATTTTTCATATCTTGTTTTCAAAACTATGTTACAGAAACTGATTGGTCAAATATCATACTACATAATTATACATCACCTGTTATAAACATATATTGTTAAATATTTTATCAAGAGAATTATTAAAAAAATTCCCTTTTTACTACATAATTAAATAGTTCATTAATGGTAAAAATTATGCCTTAATGGACTGCAAGTCACATTTTTGCAAATAATTTTAACCTTAATCTATTTCCATAAATGAATCTTTTCTTAATACATTTTTATCTTAATTCCTTTGTATATTTTTTTGAATAACTCTATAAAAGTTTTATTTATGATTTGCAACAAAAATTGGATTTCTTCCTTTTGCTTAATAATTTCATTAAAACTGCATTTAAATGAAAAAATTTTGATATTTTGAAAACAATTTCTTTTCATGGGTTTGAAAGTATATAAAAGAAATATATATTACTAGACATATCATAAATTCAGAAATAAATTATTATAATGGGTTTTGATATAATTAAAGTGCTAAGTCACTTATGATAATGAAATAACTCAAAATATGAATGTGCTATGATTTATGGCAGAAGAAAGTATCTCATAAAAATTATTTTCTGATAACAAATGATGACATATTGACAAAGATAGCTGTTTGAAAATAAGTATATATCATAATTTTAATTTTTGTGGAGTAGGAATATTTAGATAATTTTTATAATATAATGCATGTTAAGTACAAAGATTAAGTAACAATTTTCTATTTTCAGTTTTCTTATAGAAAGACAGAAATTTTCTAAGTGCTACAGAACATGTTTATCCTTTCTTTCATTAGGCATAATGCAGTATTCCTGCATTTATGCTAAAAAGATATTTCAACTCAAATTTTGTAAACACAGGAGTGTCTAGAATGTACTGCATACATAATATTCTTTCATTTTAAATTACCTAAAAAGCAGTATTTTTTTAACTAAAACAAATAAATATTTCCCTTGGTATAAAATTTAAAAGAAACACTGCATACTAGAAGTGTAGATTTATCTGAAGGATATCCCAAACAATAAAATGTTAGTAAATAAAACATATATAACATAATATTAGTAAGCAAGCATATAAACAAATTCTAACTGAAATTTCTAATAATTCTTTTCCAAACATGCCACTCAAAGCAAAGTGTAACTAAGCTTGGAAATTAACACAAGACGTATGGTAAAACCATGGATGGCTTCACTGCATTCTAAATTTCCATTTATATCATTTGCATTCGAGTGATAAACCAGAGACTCAGAGTGTTCATTTTCCACTTTTTTCAAGAAATTTTTGCCTTTCACAGCTGCCGAGAGCTTCTCCAAAACAACTTTAAAGTAGAGTATGAAAGTTTTCTCACTCACACATCCCAGCCATAGATAAGAATTTAAAGATTCTAGAAAAGTGCGCTTGTGTAGCACCTTTGATTAGTAAAAAAGAGAAATGCTAGACAATTTATACACAGATCAATGTAAAATATACTGAACTAGGTCAAAAATATTTATTTTCATAAATTAAATTTAAAATAGTAAGAATTAAATAGAATAAAATAAAGTGAAAAATAATGAAATTACAAAAGACCAGATCTATTTTTCAATAATTAAACATAATGATAGTTATACTTTTCTAATAGAAACTAGCAGATAATATTAAGTAAATTGCTATGTGAAATAACAAATATGTGCAATAATATAACGCATCAAAGGAATAAAATAATAAAGGAAAGCATAAACTGAAAGGAACATGAATAAAGTAATCAACGATGCCTAAAAGATTAAAAAATATAAAGTGAATCAAATTAAAGCAGCAACAAGTTTAAAAATAGTTAAGTTTAGGGAATGGAAGAAAATAATTTGATTCTGCATCAACAATACTGACTAAAATGCAGCTATAAGACATCACTCGTAATGTGTTCTTCTCTCAAGAACAACGTACAAAAATTATTCTTAGCACAAGTAACTGAAATAATCTTTTGAGTAAAAAAAAATATATGTTCAGCAAAAACTACAGATTCTAGTTCTGAATATTCCATCAAAAGAAATTACTTCTTTTGCAGCAATCTTTTAAATCAAAACTAAAATTCTGGGTATTTTACAAACATGGAAACTTTTAAGTATTGTAGCTTGGCAGAATTCCTAATTTAGGAAGAAATTATTTAACACCCAGAAGAATAGATTAAAATTCTAAAACTGAGAAATCAGGAGCTTATTACAAATAAAAGAGACAAACATTATTAGAATAGAATTACTCCTATAAATGTATTAATGTTGTCCTATAAATGTATTTAATATAAATACATTTATAGAACTATTGTACATTCCTTTTAACTCCGTATTATAACTAAGCATATGAACGAGCAGACTTAGTAAACATATACACATAAATGCCAAGCAGAGATTTACTTTATAAAAGAAACTGCAAATTAAAATTTAATTGGTGACTTAATTGGTGATTTTGATTTATTTATGCTATGACAATATGTTATGATTAATGAATAAATTAAAATGTTCTATTTCTAGATCATGTTTAAAATTTAAAGTTTCATTTTATATATACTAATTTCATTTTGTTTTATGCAAGAAATTAGATTACTAACTTCCGTTTAATTCATAAATATGGAAAAAGTGAATATGCAATTATTTTAAAAGCATTGGATAAATACTTTGAAAGCGGTGTTTGGTGAAATTTTTATACTAAGCATTACATACAAAAATGTGTAATGAATATTACTAGCATATTTGACACGTTATCTGCACACCAAACTAGTGACAGAGCACCACGTATAAGAGTTATGCTCCCTTATGGCAAAAAACGTATTCGAAATCTTAAGTTTGGTTGAAATGATTAGTAAACATTAACTAATTTGAAAAATAATCAATAAATTTCACTAAATAAATTTTTAAGAATTCTTTTAAATTTGTGTATAGAAACGGAAACTGGGATGTGAAAAAGATTAATAAAAAACGAATGAAATGAGCTGTTGGAGAATTCCTCGGCACTGTTGATAAATATTTTCATTTTTTTTTCTTGCACAGGTCACTAAAAGGGAGATGACGGTTATCTTCGGATTTCCTTGATAGGCAAATGGAGCTGGAGAGGATCTCTCAGCCTGCGCAAGTCCTCTTCAATCTGAGCTACGTTGTCCTTGAGTTTGTTATAACGCTTCACATCCAGACCCATTTTCTGTGCTTGTTTATGGAAACCAAAAAGAGTTTGGCGGTCGAACACATCCGGTAAAATGTATTCCTGTATAAATAAAACGGATAAATATAAGAATTATATGTACCATCAATAAAACAATAGACACGTGATATTTAAGAAATCACTCCTTTTGTAATAACATTACAATCATCTGTTGCGGATTTTTTATATTTTATTAATTTTAATGAAATTATAGTATCTTTTGTATAATGTAACATGAAAAGTCTGAAGGTTATGACGCTTTTATTTAACATTGAGTTAAACAGCTATCTCGCTAAATCGGCGAGATATCGCCAAGCTGGCAATGGTTTTGGCAAATAATTTTTGTTACCAAACTTGAAGACCACTTGGTCCGGCTGCCGTGTAACTGTAATTGGTATTGTAGTTGAATAACTTTTCTTGCGTGGCGTAACTTTTGTCTCTCGTGACTTTCTATTAGATTGGATTACATGCAGTAAAGAAGTCAATGGTCTTCCCACTTTTACCTCAATTTTCTCGATCGTTCCTAGAGTTTTACCTGCCAGCTCATCAAAGTCTGATTTAATTTTCTTATCCAGTTCAAGGCTCCTTCTGAGGCCACATAAGCAACTTTATAATCAGTATCAATATCAGTTCTTAGTTTGACAGTTCTGAGACGACTTTGGAGTGTGTTGCGTACATTAAGTGTTAGCATTTTTACATTTTCTTCAGTCTTTTCCCATTATATCATATCAATATTCGGGTTTTTTTAGTAAGATGGCTAGCGGCGAAAAAAAAATTTTATCATTTTAATATTAACTTTTTATGTGTTTCGCACTTACGCTACATAAAATTCAGTTCAACAGCAAAATCAAAAAAAAAAAAAATATTTGTTGTTGAAGAGAAGCCTGTGTGGAATAACACTTAGTGCATATCTCGAAATGTTTATTACCACCGACAAAAGTCATTGATAAGAGATGACCACTAAGGAATCTAGTAAGTGCAGTTTGATCTCGTCTATTGCTGCTCTGAACCAAGAAGCCACCAGGGCACTTACTCTGATACCATGGATGCACTGGTGGGACCATCCAAACGGCCTTATTCTTTGCCTTACATTTAGAAAATAGCTCCCTATAAGTAAGAGAAGCGGTAAACGTTGTGGTCTCGCTAGCACCAGCTCTAGTCAAGCCGTCCGCAATTTCATTTCCAGCAACGTCGACATGTGACGGAATTCACTGAAAGTACATCCGATGAGACAGGAAAAGTTGTTAAGTTTCCTGAGGATGTCTGCACGTGTACTATCCCTCCCGTTATGCCAATCAGCCAAGTGATGAACGGCACTTCTACTATTCGAAAAGATCCAGATATCTTTTAACTGAGGAAGCCACATGATGAAGTCCAGACCCTCAACTGCAATAAGCTCGCTTCGAAATACCGAGCAGAAGTCTGGATTTCTTTGAATTCTTATTTCTTGATCCCGAAATCTAATATAAATGCCACTGCCAGAACTGTCATCAACAAGTTTACTGCTGTCCGTATACATGTGAACAGCGTCCATAGGGACATTATTTATTATTTCAAGAGCTAACTGTTTCAAGTATCATGGCGATTCCATCAGTTTGCTAACAGAAAGGCTAACATGAAAGTATACCCCATCGAGACTTTCAGATGGGTCAATAATCTGAGATAAGCTGTGATGTTCTATAGAACTGGCGATAAGGTAGTTAGAAACAACCTATGCAAAGAGACTGCCATGTTTGAGTTTCTGGTTATTGCTCCATGACCCTAGAAATTTCGAGGCACGATTCTGGAGGCCAAAATCGGAGAGCTTATTGTAGTACTTCACTAAACATGCATTTCTCCTAAGACTGCAGATTGGCTTCATAAAGTACAATATCTTCGGGCACGAATTGCGAAGGCCTGTAATAATCCTTGAAGTACTAAGCCGTACAAGTTCAAGATTCTGTAGGTTTGAATTAGAGGCACAACAGAAGATGGGGAAGTCATACTTCAAAATCGGTCACATAAAGGAAACATAGGTGTTTCTTATGGTACTAGCATCGGCACGCTAATCATGGCCAGAGATGTGCTTAAGAATATTAATGAGTTTCCTAGCTCTCAAAGCAAGATATTAGAAGTGTCTATTACCCAAAATCTCAGGATCCAGTATGTAGCCCAGATACTTTGGGTGTTTCTCCACTTCCAAAGGCTGACTATTCAACAGGATTCTTAGTCAAAAATTATATAATTTTCTAATGGTTGTGAAGAAACATTGGTTGTGAAGACTTTCAAGGGTTAAATCTTAATTTGAAATCTCATATTTTGTCGAAAAATATTTAAAAGAAGCATATCTTTAGAATTTCCGATAGAGTACCATACTATTTTTAAATTCGCTTTTTCTTTAAAAAGTAACCGCTCATGTGGCCAGCCGCCTAAAATAATTATCATAAAAGAAAAACACACAAAAATGAATATTTCTAAATAGACATATCATGATTTGATACATCTTTATTTAGATCAATCACATAAAAAAGTAGAAAAAATATTCTTAAGAACTTTGTTTATTGCTTTGAAATCGCTTTTTTTATTATTCACCAGCTTTCCGGAAATATATCTTAAGTTTTACTCAACGGCAAAACGCTAGTGCGTGGAAGATAAAAATATTTTATTTTGGGCCGCGGGAACACATTGCTTTTATACAGCCGAGCTTGTTAAAAGTTGAAAGATTAATATTTTATATTTTCCGAATGGCACATAATTCATTGGAAACTAACTGTTCGAGTGTTCAGCCGCCTAAAAGAATTATTGTAAAAAAAGAAAAATGTACATTATGGTTTTAACGAATCCAAATAATATCATTTCATAAAAAATATTTAATACTTGTAATTAAACATCTCTTGATTTAAATGTATTTTCATTAAATCAATCAAATTAAAACGTAGAACAAATATTTTTAAGAACGGCGTTTATTGCTTTCCAGTTATTTGGTTTGCTATTTTATTAAATCTGAAAGTGAAATATCTTAACGCTTTATTGAATGGCAACACCTTGGTGCGTGGAAAAGTAAGTATTCTATATGAGGAAGTAGCCACACATAGATATCAAATAGCCTGATTTATCAATTAAACTTGGAAGATAAATATCTTATATTTTGTAGAACAGCAAGAGCCTAGCGCCCTGGAGATAAAGATGTTTTTTTTTTTTTTTTTACAGTGTTGCCATTTTTCGCTTTCAAATCGCCGAGTTTGATAAACAAAAATTTGTTATATTTACCCAAAATATGAAATGAATTAAAACTAAATTCGATATTAAAAATTCGGGCTTTCAGGTGCCCATGTTTGAGTGGAGAGCTAGGTGTATTAAGAATTGGGTGGCTCTAATATGCCGTCGACTTTCCACAATGCGAGGAACATACATACATAAATACACACATATACAGAGATTCTTCATTATTTAGTTTTAAAAAAAATAATACATCACGATAACACGGCAACTACTTGAAAAGTAAATCGGACACAAAAAGGAATAAGAACAAAAGTGAATTTACAAACTAATAGCACCTGTCGTGGTAACAATCATTTGAACTAATATGAGGTCTGCCAATATATACTAAGAGTAGAATAGCATACCAAAAATAATATATATGTAGCTAAGAAAGTTTAAATAAAGAAAACAGCTGATTCATACTTCATATTCTGTATTTAATTGTGAAACGGTAATACACAAAATGCTAAAATGCTTTCGTTCATTCCAGGCCTTTTCGGAACCTAATTAAAATTGTAGAGCCATTTGGTTATTTTGAAGCAAGAGAGATGAAATATAAGCAATGCCCTCGCCGGGACACGAACCACGGACCTATTGAATACGGGCCGAGTGTGCTGACCACTACACCACGAAAGCATGCTAAAAATGCGACAGAAATAAATTATATACTCCCCCTTTTAAAGGGCGACTGGAGATTAGGGGACCCAGTTGCCAAATACTGGTGGTAAAGAATCATCATCTATCACCTTTTTTTTAGTTTGGGCGCCACTGTAAAGGCATTAGGTATTTTTGTTGAAACTGGAGACATGGAAAATGTCTTCGCCGGGACTCGAATCTCGTACTTCTCGATACGTGCCGAGTGTGCTGACCTCTATAGCACGAAGGCATGCTAAGAAGACGGGAGAAATACCTTACAATATGAAAGAAAGTATACAATGAGTTACAGTATTCACTACAGGTCAATGTATAATTTCTATTTCTTGCAATAGATGCAAACTAATCAGAAAAGCAATACTTTTGATTTATTATTAAAATCATTAAGTATTTTTATGCATTCATACTAGTTTAATACAAAGAAATGACACTAACGAGACTCATTAAAATTATTATATACATTTTTTATAACTATTTAGGCAAGCGGCCGCGCCAGCGTGTAGATAGTATAAAATAACAGCTGATTTAATAACAAACATTCTAAAGGATTAAATAAAACGTAACGTACCTGTCTCGTGAGCACAAAATAGGCATACATGGCTATGGTGGTCCCGTACGTGATAAAGTATGTGACGGGCTCCATGATATCCCACGAGTACTCCCACCATGTGAGACGGGCGAGGACACCAAACTGGGCACCCATAAGTGCTAAACCTAACCAGGAGAGTGTATTCGATCGTCTCTGAGCTCTTGTGAGGAGTTCTTCTCGTTTCTAAATAAGTGAAAGATAAAATGCAGCTACTTTTACTGCTTAAACAATAAAAAAAATGCATAGAGATCATAACATATATCAAAGTTTGACAAACTCCCGATAAAAAAATTTCGACTGAAGCTGGTTTGCTAATATTAATTTAATGCATCTAATTTTCTCTGATTATTAAATAATGCGCTTTTGTTCATGCAGAGTGGCCAATTACATTTCTGAAAATAGATAGATAGTATGATTACTGAAAACAGATAATTGCACGAAAAGCTGGATTTTTAAAGCATTGTAGATTTTTACAATACGGTCTTTTTTATGTTTTTTATTAATTAATTTATTTATTTATTTACTGTGGTCTCTTCTCACATGCATTTGATCATAATACATAAAATTTGTCACATGACAAAAGTATGCTATGTACTGATCCGAAAAGAATGCTTTGCAAACTTTACACTAATCTATATGACTTCATTGAATATTAGTCCTGCGGAAATTTTGCTTGAGAAATACGCTCCTATAGATCATTCAAAGGAAAGCTGTCATCAAATGGCATTATTTAGCGAGTGAAGAACATTCTGAATGCTTTTATATTCGATAAGGCGCATGAAGTAAGAATACCAATGACGATGGGATATGACAGTGAATAAGAAATATTTCTGAAACCTCATTTTTATACGGATAGTTCAACATAAATAGTAAACGCCCCTGCTTATAGAATGTGTATTAAGGCTGATACTTCTTTTAAAGTAACTTCTAAAGTAAAAGTTCTTCATTGGCTGACAGATACTTATTACAAAACATGTGAGACGATAAGCGTCATGTAAGATTTAAGTATTATGTTTCGCTTAAGTTTCGCAGCTCAATTTGCTTTTACCATCACAGATGAAGCTCTACATATCACAAAAGTTTATTTTGTTACACATTTAGATGGAAAACGTTCTCAGCAGGTCTAAGACTTGCCTAAATCTTCGGTCCCACCTTTTAGAGAGCTTCCAAATTCTCTATTTTCCTCCCAAGAAAACAAGTAAAATGAGCATTTTCAGATTTTGAAAAATGCTGTACTTACAGCCTCAGATTACGTTCTTGTGTATAACATTCTGCAATAATGCGTCAAATTTACATTAATATTTACAACAATATGATGCTACTAAGTAATTTTCTAAGACTGGGCGAAATAGAAAAACAAACCTTTTCTAAGGGCTCCAATTCCTCTTTCAGTTTCTCTAATTCTCCTAGTAGCCTGTTCTGGGTATCCAGCTGGTGCTGGTCTATATGCAACGCCTCATAGAGCTGAGCAACCCGCGTGCGTACACTAGAGAGACACTCTGCCTCTTCGTTTGGGATCGTCTCTGTAGAAGAAGAAGAGTTTTAATTTTTTTTAAATAGTTATAAATTAAAAATAAACTAATTGCACTTGACCAATCCAATTCAGATTCCTTGAAAAGGGCAATTAAATTCAAGATGGCAGTTCTGTTAAAAATTTTTTTCCAAAGATGATATTGTTAGGCCATTCGCCTCCCGCACCGCATTACAGTAATATACCCTTAGTTATCCCGAATTGAAGTTATGTGGTTCCTTAGTTTTCACTCCCACCCCATCCACTATGAAGATCATGTTGCACATGTTTATCAATTTCGTACTTGCAACAAATACGGATGTGTTTCAGCGTTGTATAATGTAAGAGATAGTTTTTCTGCTCCTAAACGACTAACGTGCGTCAAATAAAGGACCGAAATATCATATAAGCATTTAAAGTTATTACCTGAGATAGTTGTTTGAGTTTTCGGAGGGAAAAACTAACCAAGCATTTTTCTGATTTATTTCTGCATATTGAAATTTCGTTTTGAAAACCTGATAATCGTTTTATTGAATACGGCAGATATAATAAGAAGGATTTGGTCAACTTAAATGCTAATGAGGGCAATACGATTTTAATAAAACATTCATTCAGTTTGAAAATTTGATTATACTTTTTAAAAAGTATAATCTTTAAGCATAGTACAAGAAGAGACGTTATAATTCTAGCAACATTTATTTAAACTTTTATCTTGATTTGCGTAAATGAAGGACGAAACAACGGAGTTAATTATTCACTGATTTACTTTGAAATACGTTTTAAATTTTCAAAAGTCTTAAAATTTTCACTGTTTACAGTAAAGTATTTAAGACAACTTCGCACGGTATTTACTCCTGAGGCGAAACACTGAACGTGGAATTTAATAGCGCAGACGAGAAAGCGTTGATTTCACTAGTCACCATCGTTACAAGCTGTAGGTGAGAGATAATAAAGCTGGATTAATTGACAGCATTGTCCCCAGAGGCTGATTAAACAAGCTGACATGTGCTTATTAAACGGATTAAATCTTACGTTACCTCCTATATAAGCATACAGAATACCATATCAACTCTTAAGCGACCAAACCGTACATATAAATTCAAAAATATTTGACATAATACCTTTACAGACATGCACTCTAAAATGTCACCAGATAAACATAGTAGTACATATATCAGAAGAAAAGGATTCAAGATGCAAACTGGAAGTGTCTTTTTGTAATTCTAATAAAGAAAATACTACTTATTTATGCTATTTTTAGAGTTTAGGATCAAACCCTTTGTCCGTCTGGAGGGTTTAAAATATTTCGCAGATGAAATATAGGCAATATTAAGGATATGAAAGCAATGCAATGTTGCATATTTTTGTAAATATTTGTATTTACTTACTTACATTTTTTTTGCATTGGTAATTTTACATATTTGGCTTTATTTATTTATTTACTTATCTAATATTTTATTTTTTATTAATTATAACTGCTTGCACAGTAATTTTATATGTATAGTAACTGCTTGCACTGCTTGCACAGTAATTTTATATATTTTTTATTAAGTTAATTATAACTGCTTGCACAGTAATTTTATAATTATAGTAATTTATTTTACTGTGTATTTTTCTCAACACTAACTTTGTGGCCATGTAGCGTGATTCTGTGCTTATTTCATGTATTATGCAATAGTTCGTTTAATTCTAAGTTGACTAACATCGAAATTGTAACGTTAGTTCAAATAGAAACGGAGTTACAAGCAAAGATCTTCATAAAGGGGCAGCATTTGACAAATTGTTGCAAATTAACGACAATTTCGAAGACTCCAGGAAAAGAATTTTCAAAGATCTACAAGTGACTTTCCTGAAAAACATCTGTCTGGTTGTCTGAAAATCATGATGCACATTTTCTATGTTCTTCAAAGGTCCTTTACTTATATGAAAAACAATGAGTAGTCAACAGCATATTGTCCGTTTTGTTTCATAACTGTTTACTTCCTTTTAACTCTTTGACTGTTTACTTCCTTCATAATTGTTTACTTCCTTTTAACTCTTTAACTAACTCTTTTTAACGCATATATGTGTCCAGCAGAAACCATCGGTGTGGCCTGTGGGCGCATATTTAGCCAGTGGATACAAATGCCGCTCAGCGAAGGCTTTGGCTTTTACTGCTGTCTCATGTGTATGTTTGGAAATTATTTTTATCGTATATGTCAAACACTCGCAAAAACCTCGTACCTGATTTATTGCTTAGCAGCGAGAAAAAATGAAATCTCGTTTATTTGGTCAGTCATTCTTCACGCGAAGCGCCTCAAGAACAGTTAGCAGTTGAAGGATTAATGAGCTTCGTAATTCCTTATTCACAAAAGAACCTAGCTTTATCAGTGAAAAGCTGAACAAGGTGCTGATTTACAGCATCATCTGAATTGAATATTATAACACGGAAGAAATTTTGAAGAGGGCGAAGCAAGTGAAAAATCTGAGGGCACAAGATCTGGCGAGTATGATTCGTATGGCAACACTTTTCATCCGAACTTGAATAGTATTTGCAGGGTGATCAATTTTGTGCGTTTATCGGGATTACGATCTTCAAGTTATCGGGATGCAGTGCAGTTCCTATACGATTAACGATGTCTGGAAGTTTCTGGAAGTTGGATTCATTGAAACTGGCCAGTTAGCGACAGCATGCATTCGAGCTGAGTCGTTGGTTCGCTGACAGGAATTTGGAAACGGACCACACACAAGTTGGATCACCCGACAAAAAATATTGGATTTAGGATGAAAAGTGTTGCCACGTGTATTAGACTCACCTAATCTTACGCCTTCAAATTTTTACTTGTTTCATTCTCTTCACAATTTCTTTCGCTATATAGCATTCAACTCAGAGAAGGACGTAAATCAACACTTTAGCAAGGTTCTTTTGTGAAGGAGAAATTACGAAGCTCATTAAAATAAAGTAAAAGAGTCATTTTCAAATTTTGCTTACATATGCTGTCCCAGAAGTAAAGAAAGAAAATTCATGTTTAAAGTTTAATTTGAGTAATGCATTGCATAAAGATGGCTATAAACATATTTCTACAATTCAAAATATAAAAACAATTGATATTTTTTAGATATAAATCTTAAAACGTGTGATCGTAGGCAAAAATGCCTGTCCTTTCAAGTTTCATGCTATTCTACTGCTTCGTTTTGTAACCTAATTTATTTTTTTAAATAAAGAAGTTTAATTATTTTAAATATGAACTATTAATATGTTATATTCATGATAAAAATTAATGGATTGCTCAAATTAAACTTTAAATATTAATTTATCTTGAATTTTCTTTCTTTTCTACTGGGACAGCAAACGCAAGCAAAATTTGAAAATAGGCCTAAACTTTATCAAACAAAACGCGCAGTATACTATTGACTCATCATTGTTCTTTATATAAATAAAGGATCTTTGAAGAACATAAAAAAATGCGTCATGACTCTTCAGACAACCTAACAGATGGGCTTACCTCTTCTTGGGCAACCTTATCAATACCGACCGCATTTTAGTATTATCATTTATTGCAACCTTATCAATATCGACTGCATTTTAGTATTAAACTAATGACTGACTGCAAACTGCTGCAGTCTGCAGTCAGTCATTAGTTTAATTCAGGATCGAAAGACTTTAATAAGCCTCTCCTCGGTGATTACGGATTCAAATTCTGCTCAGCAAGCGCTTTTGGTGATTTGCTATATTTTTTGCATGTTAAGAAGAATTTCATTTTATCTTTGTTTTCCTGTTGGGATATTTCCACCTGGTATGCTGTCTATAAGGAATGTTTCTAAATGGATTCAAGCTGTGTTAATCACCCATATGTCTTACTTCGTTATTTAAAGAAATCTCCAAGAAAATGTAGCACGTCATAATGCAGATTTCTTATTTATAATTTTTTATAATATTACCAATAATTCTTGTCAATTTATAATACATATTGCTAGGCTGAGAAAACATGGGTTCCGGCTTATCTTCAAACTCGAGATCTCCGACTTTACTCTATTGCTTTTATTCACTGTTTTAAATACATACATGTTATATATAAACATGTAAAGCTTAACTCTCTATTTTAATTCAAACACTTATTTGCAACTGATTATAATAAGTCATTCTAAATTGTATAGTTTCAAGAAACAAAATTATCCATGTCCCACAATTTTTGCATAACGCTAATGATGCAGGCACGTATGTAAACGCTTCAGTGAATAAGATTTGAAATTTGAGAAGCAAAACATATTCTTAGCCAACAGGTATTAAATGTGACCAAAACCGAATCATTCGGAACCAGACCTTTATTTTCGATATGTTCACATTCTTCCTCTCGCTTCGCTTCAGTCAACATGCTAACGGATACTTCTCTGTTGTCTGTTCTTCGATTATATTTCAGTATCGATGTAGTCCTTTAAGAACAGATGCTTATTGTGCCAATTTATCTGCTCTGGCTTAAAAATGCTTGTCATCAAGAATTAATACTAAAATTGGCCCTGACTGCAGCTACTTCTTAAACACATTGATACATTCAAGTTATTTCATGCGTACAAACTATTTACAGACTGATTATAGTTTTTATAGTTCCTTCATTAAGCTCAAAATTTCGAGCTTGACGCCATGACTTGAATAAACATAAGACTTTAATATGAAATTTTAATTGATGGCATCCTTTATAATATAAAGTACATCATGTCAATACATATTTGACTCTGATACTTTTACATAGGAAAATATTAATAATTTTCAAAGAAAAAGAGGATAAATTGGCCATCTCTTAATTTTATGTTCATTAAGTTTTAAATGTAGTGAAATCACACTTTCCATGCCTCAGAGACCATGCCATAAACATAACTGTAATAAAATTCGTTTGTTTTATAATATGTTAATTTTGTTTAATAAACGGATATGATAGTAAAAAATCACACATGTATTCAAAATTTAAGATCATATAACATGCGATTTATGAATTCATGCATAGATTTTACAATCTTTCACTCAAATAACAAATGAATGAATATTATATAACAACTCTGAAATAATATTACATAATTTATATCAAGCATTAGTCTGTTATTTCAATATGACAAAACACAGAAAAGCTATCAGCCTAAGGGAGGGATGTCTCAGTGGAGGATCTTTCAATGATTAACTGACTTAAATTTAGGTTACACATAGCGAAAATCGCTAAAACCAACTTTGAAACCATCTCGTTCGCTTCGGTTTGAACCCAGGACAAACTACTAGCACTCAAATGTGTAACCACTCAGCCATTGGCAATGTTTCATTATGAGGATAAATTAAAAATGAGTTAGAAATTTTTAATCAATTACATTATAATTATACTCGAAAAATATTGATTAAAATAATTTTCGTTTGTATATCACTCTATGGCATCAGTGCCTAACTTTGTGCTTGCGAGCACAAGTGTGTCGCCGATCATTTTGTACGTGCTCGCCAGCCCGATTAGGTACTATGAACAAAAAATATTTTAAAAGTAAACCATTCATTGATATTTCTTAATCGTTAAAATATGGTAAGTATTTGTAGTCATAAGAAATATCTTGCAAGACGTTATAAAATAATTGATTTCTGAGTGATGAACTTGGTAACGAACATGAATCTTATTGCTTCATTCCGATGTTAGATGGCTCAGCAGGGGAAAAGTACTTCAACGATTTGTAGAACTTCTTTCGCCAATAAAGCAGTTTTTGGAATAAGAATTGAACGATAATAATTAGTTATCCGATCTGTATTTTCTCACGGATATAACAGATAACTGAAAAAACTGAACGAAGATCTCCAGGGACAGGAAAACCCTTTTTCAATTGACTGGAACTGTAACTGCTTTTCAGATAAAGTTAAATTTGTGGATAAATCAGATGAAAGCAAACAATTTCATCCATTTTAAAAATTTATCAAGCCATATTAATAACTACGAGGCAATTGAAACAGAGAAATATTCGGAAAACTTAAATGGACTGAAAAACAATTTTGAACTCCGCTTCTCTGATTTCCATTAAGTTCAACCAATATTATTATTTATCTCAATCCTCATTTACCGAAATTAATATTTCAGATCTATCACATAAGAATGGAAATATATTTAATAAAAATATTGATGTTTTAGAAGTGTGCTCGCAATAGGTCAAAATGTACTCGTGAGAGGCCAAAGGTGGCATTCCGTAGAAGGCATTTGAAAGCTTAACACACACACACACACACATATATATATATATATATATATATTAATCCTTAAAAAATGATCAATTGTTCGTCGATTACCATAAAATGCGAGAGAAGAACATTATCTAAACAAAAAAATAAAATATTTCTAATAAATTCGAACTTCTGAGAGAAAATTAACGAGAAGAATTCGCTTTCTACGAATCATAATGAGATTTCTAATGCTGAAAGAGTAAAAAGTGTAATTCCACCTCGAAACTTTCGATTTGATCAAATATTAATTAACTAGCACGCTTCCAGAAAACAATTTCCTGATACGCCTGTAATTTAACTAATTTAAGAAAATAGTAGTTATCTATAATTTTGATGAAAGGCGAGAGGATTAAGATGTTTACTTAAGGTATTCCCAAACATGTTGAAATGATCTTGGAATAATATTTAATTAAAGATAAACCAAACTTAATTTCGTTAGAACACTACTAATGGATACGGGGTGGCATTTTAAAATTGCTTCGCAAAAGTAAAAAGAAACACATATATAAACTAAGGACACAATTCAGTTAAAATAATGACACTGGCATTATAATAACACACTTTAATTAATATCGAAGTATAAAAACTCTTTTAATGATGCACAGAATATTTGCAAGTGGCCTAAGCAACAGCAACATTTAATTTTACACTTTACTTCAAAAATATAGTTAACGCACTTAAAAAGGCGAAACTGTCTGATGGTGCAGTACGTTATTATTGAGAAAAAAGGATACTATTAAAGATTCGTATGAAATATAATTGTAAAATAAAAACTATTTTAAATGAACGAACGTATTACCGTAGAAGGTAATAGAAAACTTTCATCTGCTATTAAAATGAAATAATGATTTAAATCTGCAAGAGATTAAAAAAGTGTTTAGAGAGAATATATTGTGTTTAGCACGTTCCTTGCCAGACCGCTTTTTGAAGACTTCCCGTTCAGGCAGCGTGGGGCGCATGCGCCTCACGCTTTATATTTGTATTATTTTGTTTCTGGCATATGCCTTACAATAATTAAAATAGCGCAAAAATCATAATTATCAAGGAAAGGTTGTATAGTTTAACATGCATAACACAACAAACCAATAAATTTATTTTTCTAGGAATTAGTTTAACAAATACCTGGCTAAATACTATGCCAAGCAAGTTGCATCCTCACATATAATTTTTTATCGTACGTATATCTGTTTTAAATATAACATTTTAGTTAAATTCAAGTTTGTATGCAATTACAAAGGGATGTTACGATGAACTTTATTAAAACATGGCAAACATAAGTGTGGTTTATCCACACAACTATCGCAGAATGTCGCAACTTTTACAGTACAGTTTCTTGCCGATTGGGAACCCAAATTTTTAACATTTCTTTCGTAACAAATTTTACAGAGCCTTCTTATCGAATTAAAGTGGCCTTCCTCATCGTCAGAATCATCACTAGAAAAACTGTTGCTGTGTGATGCCATATCTGCTTATAAGGAGTAATTATTGTAAAATTTGGAAAAGGTCTGAAGAAGAAAAGACGGGAAAAATTGCAACTATTTTTAAATGCAAAATATCCGAATTTATAACAGTGAAATACTATGTACGTACCGTATTTCCTTCGTCTAACACACTGAAGAAACACACTGAACTATAAATCAATCCCAGCTTCAGTGAAGCAGTAAGTAGTGTATCAACGACACGCGAATAAATGACTGATCGAAATATGAGGAATGCAGTTGAAACAAGTTACGAAGAAAAAAAAATTGCCCATCACGCTACGCCCCACGATTAAATGAGGGCATCAGCAGTAGTATTAAAATGCCCATAATTGACTGCATAATGAATTTTTAAAAAATTCTTCATTTTACAATGATAATACCAAATGGCTTGAACGGAAAGTTTAGCGTGCGGCGCATACGCCCCACGCGGCAGGGAACGTGTTAATAACTTCTCCCATCAATAATGACCACCAGCCACTGGCGATGTAATTTCTAAAGTTTCAGTGGCTATTTATGCCATTGGCATTATGCAGTTCTCAAAATGCTATTCCCATTATACAGAAACTCAGGAACTCATATCCTCAGTTTTATTTACAATTTCGTTACGTCATTAAACTTGTGTTGCTGTTATTGTCCTTTTTCGGAAATGGTCGCAGGATATGTTCCTCTTAGCTGTAGATATCCTAATCTATTAGTCTAAAACCTAAAAAAATATTAAATTTTTTTCCAATAAAAAGGCTTTTCTGTTCTTTGTGTTTACTTGTAATGTAAACGGAATATAGTAAACCACGACTTATGTAAATTCGAATCTGCGTAAGTGTGCGAAAACTGTAACAAACTAAAATCCTTCAACAAGAAATAAGGGATCTATAAGTAATTCCTCCTTTTTCCAACCCGTGCGTTTTGCATTCAAACAAAATTTGTGACGTTAGTTTAGCAGCTCGTTTATCCAGGTTAGTATTTGTTATTTATTTACCCTTTAGATTTGCATCTCATATCCATTTATTCTAGACGAAGAGCTAATTTTTGTGCCTGCCTTGTGGAAGAAAGACGCACGATTTTTTTCTTTCTTTCGCTAAAATTTGGAACTTGATCATTTGCAACAACCCATCAGCTATCACCATCGAATCTCCAGTCATGAACCAGCATTTATATTGGAGAGCTAGTTTTCCCCTTTATATGTTAACTCCTCCAAACGATCCGCGGTGATTGGCTGTTTCATGTCGTACAGGAAAGCAGAAAAGTTGTTCTAAAGAGTGGTTCTTCCCAAATGTTTTGAATGTGTGATACGACTATAAAGTACTGAGGATATCTTGCCGATTGAATTGCCAGTGGCAGACGTTAAGAAATTCGCAAGGAAGGGTCTGTTTTTTCATTCTTATCTACCTACCAGTGATCTACAGTGCTAAAATAGCTTAACTACGCAATTTACTCTAGGCATTCCTGTAAGATGCTGTTCATTACAAAGTCAAGAAAGCAACTTAGAAAATTCTGATCACCCATTCTTCAGCATCGAGAAGGGCAGAAATTGAGAGAAAACAGAATTTCTCTTCACTACCATTCGCCTCCACCTCCAACCATTATCCAATTTAAGTCTACTACAAAGCCAAATTAGGTCTTCACAGAATCCATTTTTCATCTGAATTATTATTATTTTTTTTTCAGCGCATTTTTTTATATTCTTCATACTTTAAATAACTAATCCGAGATAATATTGAATGGCATTTTATTTATAAAATGACGTTGTATAAATACTATACATACATACAAAGACACAATAATACATACAAAGATACAATTTCTAGCGATACATTTAAACAATTTTCAAAATCGGCATTCTTAGAATTTAAGCCGCGTAAAGATTTATGAAACGCATTACTTATGCAACTCGGTAGTTTATTGTACAAGTAATAAAATAATCTGAATACTTGTTATTTTAAGGATTAAAACGGACCGTTATAACGAGCAAGAGAAATATTTTTTAGTGATTAGTTGCTAAAAAATCTTCGCAAAGAATAATATTTTTACGATAATTGATTAGCTAGAGAAACTTTTGATATGTGATTCAATATTATCTGCATTTTTAGAAAAAAAAATAACTTGCAGAGACACAAATATCACAAGAAAAAGGAATAAACAAACCGAGAGGCGGTGTCTTGACCAGGTACACGATATCGTTGATAACAAGATGAAAGTCTTCGTTCATGAGGGATGCGATGCTCGTTGAGGAAGCAATCCTTGTCCCGTCTGAAATTATATATGAGCAATAAATTGTATGTTCTCTGACTGAAATGATAGCTCCAAACTACAACATACAAAAGTTAAGATACATGCATGTATAAATGTGAATAGAAAATGATTTCCTTGTAAAGCGAAACTTCGGACGAAAAACAAGACGACTAAGTATGCATAATTTAATTCAGACCACATTTTTTTTTCCCGTAAACAATTTGCGACCTAAATTCTCAAAAAAAAAAAAAAAAAAAAAAGAATGTAATTTGCATATTAGGTATGTTATACACATATTTCTGGAAAATTAATATTAGCCCTTTATTCATTTTGCTTCAAAATCACTAATTATTTAAGGACTCATTAGATACCAAAGATATTATAAACGTAATTCACCGTGGATGTGGTAAACGCATTTAATTATTACTCACTCTTTACGTGAATCATCATTTAAAGCTAAAAAGTTCATAATTTTGCTAATAATCGCGTCTTCCTTATCTGGTGACCATTAGACAGCAGTCATCATGGTGGAAGAATATGCCAGTTCTCAGACTTCCTAACCTCATTTGCCTTTTATTACAGGTTAAAAGACGACCCTGTACTTTACCATTGCCTTTCCATTTCACACGGCAGGAGTTTTAGTTATAAAACATAGCTGTGGGAAAACTAAAAACGTTTGCTACGTCGTTTAACCACATCATAATTCATACCGTAAAGAAATTCTGAGATATTCAATTAAACACGAATAAACACGATTACAAGACTACAGTTTAACACAGTTAAGTGTTACAGTTGTAAGGTTATTACCATTTTCATTAATCAGTTAGTATAGTTCCTATAACTCCTCCTTTCAGTTTCCTCACCAGAATGCAAATTTAGTTAGAAAGTATTTACGAGAAAGCGTATTTCTGCCGCTCGAGGCCCCTCTACTAGATTTTATCAGCTCTGGTAAGATTGTAATACTTCGGCTTGCGTTATTGCTGCCGACATTTAACTCTTACGCCAGTGAGAAGTTCTGAGCCAACTTAGTTAAAATAAACTGAGTAGTCTTCGACAAGTAGGCTTAGTTTAAAGTCTGGAATTTATAGTTATTTTATTGTTATTTCATAACCACAAATGGTACCTTGATTATGTGAGCTTAGACGTGCGTTAATGTTAAAGTTCTGATTTTAATAAAAAAAAATGTTTCAAACCTTTCCAAGACTCTGCTGTTACTCCAGGCACAGCAATGATTCGCTCCTCGCCTGTTAGGAGTTTAATGCTACTTTATGCTAACAAAACGAGTCAAACCCTATACAGTCAGATGAACCCAAGTCTCCACGCGTGTTTTCGGAGTATCATTTAGAAACAATGACAGAAAAAACTCGCACCACACAGAAATTGCATAATGAGTTTAATAGCTCCTTCTTAAGGAACATGAAGGCAGAAATTTATGTTCGTAAAGATATGAAATACTATGTATTGCGGTATGGTTTAGCATTAGGCCTTTATCTGTCCCGCGATACAGTGATTCATTCTTAGTCGTAACTCTGGTAGTCATTTGATATAGAACTTTCTTTTTGTAAAGTTGAAACTTTTTTTTCTTTAAAATGTCATGAAAAATAAAACAAAAAAAAATTAATTATGAAAACCCTATAAAAAAATCTGAAATGTTTCAGATTTTAAATTACGTCCAAAGGGGCGTTTTTTAACATTTTGTGTGTTACCTTTCTTTATTAAATATCATGTTCCTCGCACTTAAACCATAAGATCCAGTGCAACAGCAATATCGCAAAATAGTTTTAAAACGAGCATATCTTTAGAATTTCCGATACAGAGACTCACGCGCTGGAGATAAAAATGTTTTTTCTGCACAACGTTGCCATTGCTCGCTTTGAAATCCTTCAGTTTGTTAATCAAAAATTCGTCAAAGTTTTAAAAAATAGGAAATCGATCATAAAACAAATTTCAAATTTCAAATTTGGTCTTCCACATGCTCATATTCGTTGGAGGATTACGTTATTCAAAATTCGATGACTCTATGTACCGTTGTTTTATCACAATACGAGAAATATACATACATTTATGCAGATTTTTCATTATTTAATTTCTTCAAATATAATGCAGGACTCTAACATTTTGTGGCAACAGTTTGAAAAGTGAACCGACATTTATGAGTCCGACGCAAAATGCCAAAACGAAACTAATAGTCCTTCGGGATTCAAATCCCTTTGGACTAAAAAAAAAAAATTAAATTCCCTGTCCCTAGATATTATAAGAAATTTAGTCTTTTGGATGAGATTCGTTTCAAACTAAGCTCGATGTCTTTTCGGACAATTTTATGGATGTGAAATAAGTTACACAAGTATTAATTAAATGCAGTATGTACTACATAAATACTTAATGCTGAAAGAAATTAAAGTATACATTTGAGGTGTTAAATTAGAAATGTATACGTCTGGTATTAAAAAACATTCCTTTATATTTTTAAATCGTGATTATGCTTTAAGAGAACACTAGAATGACACAGATGAAGAACTTTAATTTAAAATCCCTAAGAAATTTACAAAGGCAAGTGTTATTTATTGAACTTGTAAAAGAAACCCAGACGATATGATTTCTTACCTGTACTTTGAATGCTGACCCTATCTATCCCCTTGTCTTCTTTCTGTAAGTCTTGCAGAAAGTCGGAGACAGTGGAAGTTATAGGCCGAAGGGTAAAACGGCACCGCTCACGACGAGAGGGCAGAGGCACCGTGATCACAGGCAGACCGCGTTGGTAGTACACAGTCACCTCTAGCCATAAGAGAAATAAATTCACATCAGATTAATTCAATAATGCCGCTAAGATTTATAAATATACCACTATTAACTGTCTATCACATAACAATAATAGCATCGTTCAAATGAAAAAGTACCGAATTGCATATTTGTCGTATTTACAGACGAGTGGAATTCAGAGTGTCGTTCAGTTGCAATATTGATGCGTACGAAGAACTGCAGACAGCGTTTGAGGAAGTGACACACTTTAGTGGAATTAGAATAGCGAAACAGAAAAATCGAGTATAGTGTGGCATTTAAGAGCTGAATGTTCGTAAGTGGTAAGGTTGTAAAATAGAAATTGAAAGCCATAAGCTTCTGTGTGTTGAAAATGCGAGAATCCACACGAGACTGAAAAATCTGTGGTTGGCAATCAGAAACTAGAGACAAGAGATGTTGAGCAAAGGGACTAACTTCTCATCTACATACCGCTAATTTGACATGCTACCTCTTGAAGTAGTTTTACAAACAGTGACATAAATATTTCATTTTGCAGTCATTTTTACTAACTTTGAGCTCGCTGGACTGAAGAATATACCAGTGAAATCTCTTCAATGTCGGTCAAGCTTCTCAGGACAGACATTCTTTGTGCCACACAAAGAAGGCATTTATGTCTCTTGGATCCTGTAGAATCTACATTTATGTAAAAGCCTCTAAGTTATGGGGAAGCAATCCAGAGGCTGGTCCCTTAGAAATTCTTGCCTGGATAACTTTAATGGATATATTAATATTATAAGAAATTTGTTCAAGTAAGTATTTTCTATTCCATTGTTCCTTAAGTTTCTCATCTGAATGCTCCTTGCGAATAAATATATGCTTATATATTTAAATAAAACTGCTCAGATAGTAATAATTAAATCACTACTAAATATTTTTACCATTGTCCTTCTTATTCGTAACCACAAACAGTTCCTTGCCTTCTCTAATTGTCATTTTTCTATTGAATATCACAATCCTGAAAGAAAATGTTATACATTAAAGAGATATATCGCGTGTATTCTTTGTAAAGCAAGATTAAAGTTCTCTAATGAATTTTTTTTTCCGCGAGAGTTTATATTTGCTAAACGTCCATCTGTTTCAAATATCAACTTGTAAATATTGCAGCCTAAACAGATATTTCTTCCTTAACATAACCTAAAACTGGGATCAGCTTAATTGTGTCAACCCAAGTAATTCGTGTATTTTTGTTTGACAAATAGATAAAATTAATTCCTTTTTCAAACTAACAGAGTTTATCTTCTTATTAGATTTATTTAGCAGTTTTTACTTCGATCGATGCTTTGTAATAATATTGTGTAATAATCTATGTAATAATTTTGTAATGTCTGTCTGTGTTTATACAATAAAATTTCTCTTCTCTTATCCGTTAAAATACAATTTAAGACACATGTTGAATGAGTTTCACAAAGTTCTGAAATGCTGAATGCTAATGAATAAGGTATGAACTGAGAGTTGTTTATAAATTTGTTGTATATTAGGAACAATATATTGATAACTGAACAATATATATTGAAATGACTGGAAATATATAGAGTTAATATACTGTGTGTACTATGTTTGTATAATTAAATTTTCTACGCGTAATTAAAAGAATCACACGTAATACATTTAAAGTACATAAATTTATTCAGAGGTTTTTATTTCGTTGTTAGCTTTTATGCTTTCTTATGGTTTTTAATGAAAATACTTTGTATATAATGCGCATTACTGCATTACTGCTTAAAAATTTCATAATTTGAGTAATACAAAATTTAAAGACTTTGCATAAACACATCAACAAACGAATATTCTTCTTGATATACATACATAGAGAAATAGAGAGATAAATAAATAATTATGAGACAGAGAGAGAAGTATTATAAATCCAGGTAGAGTAATTTAACTAGTTTTGTTAGTGATGGATAATACTTAAATGGATCTGCGTTTATTGCTTTTGAATATCTTATGTTGATAATTAATAACAAAATAAATTTGAAAGAAAACAAAAATATCTCAGGCTTTGCTGAACGGGAAAATAATTCAGAGTGGGAGAAAAAAAAAATATTTTAACTCGTAGTAATAGATCTCTTTTAAATTACTCAGTTTGTTTATTAAATTCGAAGACACTAGGAGAGTCATTACATTTCTTTTCGATTGCCGAGTTTTGTGTTTAAATTAAAAGCATAAATATCTTAAGAGTTCCAGACAAACACAAAGCTTTAACGATGGCACAATTTCTTTACCGCGTTACTTTATATATGTCCCTACTTTTCTAGAAACAATGGTATAATATTCTGTCTTCAAATAGCAAATTATTTTGCTGCAGGAGCACGGAACAGCATTTTGCTATGTCAAAAATATTTGAGAAATTTACGATACTATGTTTCTGTACATTTATTGTGTCCACTTATTAACTCATTGCGTAAGCAGATTTTAATGTTAAATTAAAAAAGAAATCAGTGTTCGTGATTGCTGGTTAACAGACAACGATTACTGGTTAGTAGTACGTTTCGATACTTCGATACACAGTTATAAGTGTATCCGAACAGTTCCTGTTGCATTATGCAGAGGTTTCCTTAGCAATTTATGGTATATTGAGAAGCTCAAAAATTTTATTATTGCTCTCTTTTACTAGAATTAAAGAATTATAAGCATAATTAATCAAAATCTTTAACTTTTTACCCTACTTAGTAATTGACCATTATCATCTTCATATAAACTACATACGATTATCATCATAATCAAAACACATCAAGTTTTGAACATCAAGTCAGCTTTTTGTCATTTTTTTATATTCAAAAATTAGAATTTAACAGTTTTGTACATTTACTTGAAGACACGATATACGCTCATCCAAACATGAAAAAATTATTACATCACACCTTATTCTAGCATATTTCTGAGGCGTAAACACACTGCTGACCATTAAATTTGCTACGCGATGAAGGAAAAACAATTAGCACAACCATATTTATTTTAAAAATTCATTATAACGGAAGCACAAAATTGATAAAATTTCAGGTCATTTTGAGGCACACAACAAGCAGAAGTCTGAATCCCTTCGGTAACAGCTGTTATACGACCAGGTATCGAGTCAAACAAGTTTTGGTTGACAATCTGTAATGCCTTCATCTTCAGTTCTATGCCAAAGTTGATCTGTTATTTTGACAGGTGGGCATTCGCCTAGAAAATGGTCCTAGAACAATGTGCCGAAAACGAATTCAAACAAGTTCAAATACATGTAGATCGCCAGCACACGATTCTAGTTACGGAAATTACTAAACATAATTTCGGATCATCCAAAACATCTATGATATCTTCTATTTCGTATCCTAGCAAACACCTTATAACTTAATGAATGAAATTCCATGTGGTAATTTCCGGAAACGAAGAAGTAGATGAGGTTGCAAGATCTGCTATTACCGACATAGAAGTAGATATAATAACTCTATTTTCTCCCAAATCCCAACTAAAACACAAACTTAAATGTTTGCGGGAACAACTAAAGAAGAAGAGTGGAAAAGGGCAATGATAAGAGAGAAGATTCTCTCAACTTAAATCTTATGTGAAAACAGACAGGTCCAACACTAGAACTTTCATTTTATTACTCGATAGCCGAATGAAAGAATTGTGGAATACTATATAAGCAAATAATAAACGAAGTAGATTTCCCAAAATCTAAAGTACAATTGACACAAGGACGTACTTGACAAAAACGTCTGAAGGACAAAATCGACGAAAGGACAGACCAAAATTGACAGAAAGACGACAGGACCATATAACCCCAATTTGCATCCCCCCAAAAAAGATTAAAATTTTCCGAATAATAATTCACACAAAATGCTCTGTGTACACCAATGTAACGTACCATTCGTCAACCTCAAACATTTATATCACATGACTAAAAACCCACACTCTTGTCCTACGCGTATAGTCCTCCGCAGACTATACGCGTAGTGTACACTCTTGCATATTCAACATTAAGATGTGCATATAATCATATTATTATGTATGTATGTAAAATACTATTATGTATTTATTATAACATATAAATGAGAGCGGCACCATCTGTCACAATTATATTGTAACTATGTATATGTAAAATTGTAAATATGTAAAATACATCTAATGCTCAAATAAATGCCTGGCCTTGCGGATGAGAAGCATAGTCCGTCATCGTAGGAAGTGAAGCTCACGAGGCGTGGTCTACCAAATATCGAACAATGTAGACCGCACCCGGCCGGGCTTCACGTGGCATCATGAGATGTAATTGTCTTCTAGATAGATAGTGCAGAAAAATACCCACACTGCTGCTGGTTAACCAATGGGTATCTACTTCACTTCAACCTGATCTTGGCAGGCGGGTATTGTCATGCTAATCTAACTGCAACCATTGATCCAACGTTTTCATTTGATGAGATAGCTGAAGAAGGCACTGGCCAAGGCAAGATGTGATCACTCTGTGAATTAAAAAAGTTTAGATACTGTGGTTTCAGGCTGTCCATCCGAAAGTGACCAAAATACCGCATATGCGGATTAAGCACGAAAGGGGTATGTACCCAATGCTACTCAAACCATCGATTCAGGGGCTGGGCAGGTAGGACAAAAAGGATTGCAATTTTTCCCTTCGGGTGCTTCCACACACGGATGCAGCGATCACGATGCAGTAGGCAAAAGCAGGATTCATACCACTAACACATCTAAGTGTATTGTTGAACGTGCTATTGTCCTAAATTCTGTGCTGAAGGGAATTAGCCCTTTTGGAGAGTAAGTGGCATTACAGGAGTCATCGCACCGTGCATACAGGTTTTTTTTTTTTTTTTTTTTTTTTAACCTGGTGTTATACAACACGTCCAGTTGCAGACCCTGGTTACATGATGTGGCTGTACGATCCATAATAGCAGTGTGGACCAGCTGTCATCTAGGGCATTAGTGAATGACAGAAGATGAGATTCTGCACGTCATACTGTGGAATTGTCCAGGAACATTAACCACAA